ATGATCGGATTCCTTCATGATTAAGCTGGTTAATAGGCATGTCTAAGTCTCCAGGAACTTGGAAACAGGAGTACCAATTCTCTTCCTATTTTAGAATTTGTGAAGAAGAGATTGGTAGTTCCGGAAACCCGTAAGACGTAAAATGTAAGATATCGACCATATCATCACAACATATACACACACACACACACACACACACACACACACACACACACACACACACACACACACACACACATATATATATATATATATATATATATATATATATATATATATATTCGCACACATCATCTATATCACATACACATGCATCAACATCTATATCACACACTCATACATCAACATCTATATTACACACACACACACACTCAAAGACACGCACACACCCACATACACAAAGACACACATGCACGCACGCACACACCGCCCACAGCTCCCCCTCCAACCGCCCTCGTCAACTGCTAGTCATGCGTCTTCATTGTGCCCGGAGTGAAACCTATCCTCGCCTCTACACTTTCACGCGAATTTCACACACACACACACACACAAACACTCACACGCGCGCTAACGTACACGCACATGCACACACACACACACACACACACAGCAATATAGTGATCTCATATGATCCCCAGCATGTTCTCGTATGTGATACCTGCAAAGTTTTTATTCCTTTTTATTTAGTTGTATTTATTATCATCTTTAAATTTTGAAATAATCCCGCCAATTGTTTTAATGTAGAATTCTCGAAAAAGACATTCATTCTCTTAATTACCATTATAATCAATACGTAATTGACATTTATATAGAGAAACATTGCCACATTTTTTTCACAAAAAAAATCTTTATCTTATCTCTCAGCCTTTTAAAATCCGTCGTTGGACATAGGCCCTCCCCAATCTGCGTCCCCTCGTTCAGGTATGGTTTGCGTCACAGGGAGGGAAAGGGCCGTTCCCTCCCACGCTGCCCAGTGCCTTTACGTTGCCTTTTACGACACGGTGTGAAAGGCGTTGGAAGCATTCTTTTCACGCCCCCATATATATATATATATATATATATATATATATATATATATATATATATATTTTTTTTTTTTTCTTTTCTTTTTCTTCTTTTCTTTTCTTTCCTTTTTTTCTTTCTTTCTTTAAAATCACACAAGTGCTTTTTCCTTTGCCACGTCTAAAACAACAAAAATACTCGGCAGGCCTTCTTAAAAAAAATGATAAGGGTCCAGTTTCTTCCTTAAATCTTACATATTTCTCAGACAAAAGACAATAAGTATTTATTAGCGAAAAAAAACTATTCGCGTCGACAAAAAACACAGTGAAATAAGTAGGTCCACCATACTGTAAAACACACCTTTAGCTCCTGCATAATCATCATACCATGCACACAGGTATCGCAGATCAAACCAACAAGTGCCAATAGATGCCTTTCCTTACGCACTCATTCACCTAATCATCCACCTCTCCTATCTACTCCCTATCTATCGGCCATCACGGCATCAAGCCCCGAAACCCACCGTAGAGACTCTAAAGGTGCTTCCAGACTCGCTGAGCGCTGTCATTCGACCCTACGACATAAACCTGATTTAGGCACCGTGGCCCCCATCAGTGCACAATTCAGGGTGCCTCCCCTATCGCTTATTCTCTTTGCATTCATATTCCGCCTCTGCAGTTTCCCCATCTCTGTATATCTATGTTCAAGATATCCCAAATTCTATTGCTGTGGAAGTCCTATATTGTGTGTATGTAGATTTTTAAAATTCTCCATTTCTGCATCCTCTTACTCTGGGTTGAAATGCTTTCGTACTCAGTTTTGAATATATATATATATATATATATATATATATATATATATATATATATATATATATATATATGTGTGTGTGTGTGTGTGTGTGTGTGTGTGTGTGTGTGTGTGTGTGTGTGTGCACAACACACACACACACACACACACACACACACACACACACACACACATATATATATATATATATATATATATATAATATATATATATATATACGTATATATACATAAATATTTATCTATCTTTATATATATATATGTGTGTGTGTATACACACACATATATATGTGTGTGTGTGTGCGTTTGTGTGTTATATATATATATATATATATATATATATATATATATATATATATATATTAACATGAATAAACACACAACCATTTGAAATTCCTCTACTTAGCAGCATGCAGGCCGTTTCTAACTGCACAAAGGCAAAATAATCATCACTCTGTATTAACTTCAAGTATGCAACTATTCTTCCTCTCTCTCGAACAAACATAAACGCACGGACATAAATACACAAAACAAACTAAATATAGCTAAAAGCCTATCAGGTCATACATCCCTGTAAATTGTCATATTTTCCTTTATATCATCGAACCGGCTGGATCTGTGACAACGTGGGGCTCAGAACCGAACTCGCCCGGCTGAAGTGTAAACAACGATAAACAGAGTCATTCCAGCCACCCTCTTTACACCTCAGTGGTTGTTTGCTTGTCTTCCTCCCTGGATCTAATTGCGAAAATCAGACTTGGTAAAAAGGTGATCTCTTTTCTCTGCTTATTTAACTAATTGCATTTAATAAGTACGTTTTCGTGAGTACTGTTCTATGGGGAAGGCTAGATCAGTAGCAACTCGAGGGGCCATGGCGTCTGATTCCATTTTTGGAAAAGGCACATTTTGATGACGTCACAAAAGTTACGGATGCTTTGTGGGTATAGTCGATCATTTTGGTCTTTTCGATTTTCAAAAAGGATGGGGGGGAATAATGATTTTAATGGTTATATTTTCATTGAACAATCATCAAAATAGCCCTATGGGACGCCATAACACCTCGAGTTGCTACTGATCTAGCCTTCTCCTACTATCTAATGCAGTGTGTATGGTCGAAAGCAACCTGGGTGTTTCTGGATCTTGAAAAAAAAATACAACCCAGGGGTTTACACCTACATGTATACATATAACAAACATGCGTACGTACTGTACATACACGTGTGTGTATGTGTGTTTATTCCTGCATACGCTCACGTGTATAGAATATGTATCATCTTGTCCCAGTTCTATTTTCCTCTGTCTACTGTAAAATAAAAAACCTCTCGTTTCCTCCTCGCACCTCGACCAGCCGTCTTTGTACCCAGCATGCAAATCTTCTCATTCTGGCTGCCTGTGCTCCCTCAGTCTACCGCGGCAGAGTAGAAACACCACACACACACACACACACACACACACACACACACACCACACACACACACACACACACACACACACACGCACACACACACACACACACCGATTTCTTTGTACCTCTTTGGTTACAAAATCGTACCGGATTTTCACATATTCACAGGGGTAGAAATAAGGAAAAGAATTTAGAAACACCACAAAATCAATGAAACAGCACCAACCACCATGAGTGCAAGACTGCATTATTCTACAAAGAAAGATTCCATGTTGCTCTCTAGCATCAAAATTAAGCATAAGAGGAAGAAATAACAAGCCTCATACACCCTCCGGTGGCATATACCGCCATAGCAGATGCTTCCCCAACAACTAACACCCAAAAATGAAAACAAGAAAGATGAAGGACAAGATACACACGAAATGATGACGGTGTATAAAAGCTTAAATGGAAATTGAGAGGAACAGAATAAACTTGGGAATTCATATCTACACGAGTACAAGATTGTATCAGTGAAGCATGTAAAAGCCACACGAATATTGAGAATGTATTATACGCAAAACATACTAATGTAGAAAAGTAATGAATGAAATTGAATCTTCACAATGTATTTCTGACGAAGATATATTCGAAACCGGTTAAATAATCTCTTGTATTGTGAAGATATTAATTCCCATTCATACTTTTTCTATATTTGTCAACATGAACACGGTTCATTATATACGAAAGATGACTGGCAAGAAACTGAAATAGTGAACACGGCAACTGAATGTTAATGAAATTCTAAAACAGATTACTGACTAATGGACAAAAGATTTAAACCTTTTAAACGGATTTACACAAATATTATGTAATACAAGCTACTTTCTGCACTGTAGCCCGGACTTACAACTTAATTCGTAATGATAAACATTATAGAATTACCCCCACATGCAAATGTTATAGGTCATAGTTGGTACAAATTAACTCTCTGCCTTTTTAGTAGTCTTTTTAACCCAAAAGGGCGTTAGGGAGTAAAAACTATATTATAGTTAAAAAACCCTATAAAAGAAGAAAGAAAAGAAGAAAAAAAGGTTTACTATTGTGCTGAAGCTTCGAAACTATTCGAGTTCTGGATTCGGTTTGAGAAACGAAATCATTTTCGAAACAAACTGCCAACTTGATTAAAATAATAACAATAATGTTGATGTTACTAATGATAACAATGACAATTACCATTTGAAGATAATTATAGTAATGATGATAATACTGTTGATAATGATAAAGGTAATGTTAATGATAGTGATGATAATGTTGATAATTATGATATTAATGATAATAATAATGATAATGATAAATGATAATAATGATAATGATAATAAATGACGATAACAATAATGATGGTAATGATAACGGCAACGATAATGATAGCATTAATCATGATAATGATAGAAATAATGATGATAATAATGATGATAATGATAAGAGTGATAATGATATTAATGATAATGATAACGATGGTGATAATAATAATGATAATAATAATAACAATAACAATAAGAACAATAATAATAATAATAATAATAATAATAATAATAATAATAATCATCATCATCATAATAATCATAATAATAATAATGATAATAATGATGGTGAAAAAATAAATAATGATAATAATGATGATGGTAATAATAGTAAATAGTGATGATAATTGTAATGATGGTGATTATAATGACGATAATAATAAAAATAATGATGATAGTAATGATAAACATCATTATGGTATTAATCTGTTCATATATATTTTTTAGTCATCCTGTTAACCAACCAACTAACGAACAAACAAAAAAGATCCTGGAACCGGATCACGGGCCGAATCACAACCAAAATTTAATGACATCTAAGTTGGGCTTAAAAACTATATTATAGTTAAAAAAAACATAAAAGAAGAAAGAAAAGAAGAAAAAAAGGATTACTATTGTGCTGAAGCTTCGAAACTATTCGAGTTCTGGATTCGGTTTGAGAAACGAAACCATTTTTCGAAACAAACTGCCAACTTGATTAAAAATAATAACAATAATGTTGATGTTACTAATGATAACAATGACAATTACCATTGAAGATAATTATAGTAATGATGATAATACTGTTGATAATGATAAAGGTAATGTTAATGATAGTGATGATAATGTTGATAATTATGATATTAATGATAATAATAATGATAATGATAAATGATAATAATGATAATGATGATAAATGACGATAACAATAATGATGGTAATGATAACGGTAACGATAATGATAGCATTAATCATGATAATGATAGAAATAATGATGATAATGATATGATAATGATAAGAGTGATAATGATAATTAAATGATAACGATTGGTGATAATAATAATGATAATAATAATAACAATAACAATAACAACAACAACAACAATAATAATAATAATGATAATAATAATAATAATAATAATAATGATATCTAATATGTGAAAAAAAAAACTATTAATGATAAATCGAAATATACAAGCTCACAAAGGATGATCACACCAATGCTTTACATGTGCTTTGTGGCTTGATCGGGGTGTTCCACGCACTGAGATAGAACATAATAATAAAACAACAGAAAATACAATAAAAATGGGAATTATGAATACACAAAAAAGAAATAAAGATAAAACAAATAGAAAAACAAAATAAAAAAACAAAACAAACAAATACATCAACAATTAAGAAAAGAGAACAATAAAATATAAATAAACAATGAAAAAAAAAAAACTTAATAAAAATATAAATAATATAATAATATTAAAGAAATAACACACATAGGCAAACAAAAAAAAATTAAGAAGAAATAACAAAGGAAACAGAAAACAAAAAAAACAACAAAACAATAAAACTAAAAACAAAAAAGGAAAAGTAATTAAAAACAACAATAAAACCAAAACTAAGCACCAGAACCAAAACAAGAAAAGAAAAGTCCTAACACCGCGCACACAAGACATGAAATATACAACGGGAATACGTACCAACCCACCGAAAATAACACAAACCAGAAATAATTTAATGACCACTCTAAGTTGGGTCACAAAAGAAAATAAAAAAAAAAAAAAAAAAAAAAAAAAAAAAAAAAAAAAAAGAAATCATAACGTTATTTAAGTTTTAGTAACCTTCTAACAAACGAAACCCAGAAAAGAAAAAAATTCACTGTGAACCGGGAGTATAAAGAAAATCTGGATTTTGTAACCAAAATCAATAATAGAGAACAATACGACGAACAAATCAAGTAATAAACTTGGTGAATCTAAGTTGAGCTAAGACACCCTAAGAAAAAAAAGAAAATATAATAAACATAAATAAAATAGTAATCTTCACCTCCAATTGAGATTATCATATGACTAATACCAGCGCTCTAATGAAAAAAACAGTATCCTTGTGATGAGGAAACGGTTAATAAATAAGCATTGTATCAAATCAAGTCTGTAAACACTGCTCAGCTACCATGATACTATGACACTACAGCGCTAAATAAATGCCATCAAGCCCCAAAATAACTCGACCGTCACCCGAGCCAGCCCCGTCTCCTTCTCAGCTCCTGTCGCTCACCCCTCCACTACAGCACACACTACAGCTAGCACTAAACTACATGTACTGTCTATCACGTTAGCGAATCACTGAACCCCCGCACCGTCCCCCCGCTGCCCTGCCCACGCTCTCCGTGTCCCTCCGCTCCCTCTAATCCACCGAACAGCCAGTCGACGTAACCGAGTACAAAGAAAAGTCGAGTAAGTGTAAGGAAATAACTAAAACAACGAAAAAGAATAAATAAAAAATACAAATCATATATATGGATGGACATTAACAAAACACAGTAACTAATAATAATATCGACTAATGAAATAACATAACACCATAAAAACAACCAACAAAACTAAACAACGAAATATACAAACACTAGCACAAAATACAACTAAAGAAAACAGATAAGGACAATCAAATAATATCACATAAGATAATTGATGAAGATAACAATACAAAAATAAACAGCAATGAATAAATAAGCACTAAATTTCAACTTCTGCATGAATGATAGTTATAACAGACTGAATGAAAGTGATGCCGCCCACTGAAGATAACAACAACGAATCGCTACAGACAATAATAAAATACAAATCAAAAAACGACTGACAAAGCGCTGAGAGAACATCAGAAACAGCAACAATCAAAAGCACCATCAGCAAAGCTAAATAACCAGGCGAAAATAACACGCAAATCACAACAATAACACATTCCA